CACTTCCAACAAGACACGGTGGGGGGGGGGGCACCCCAAGAAGGAGAGCAAGTTGTGCCCATGCCTGGCCCTGCCCTACGGGAACAGGCAGAGAACAAAGAGGGGGGTGGGGGGATGCCCGAAGGGTCTGTGGGAAACCAGGACCAGGCCTGAGCCGCCGCCAGCCCCACGTGGGGCAGCAGGGCAGGTCCCCAGGGCAGCCCAGCACCTGTTACACACGCGGTCGGTATTTTTAGCACAGCCAGCTCTCCCCTAGGCCTGGCAGGTGGGCTGCCAACCCCCCCAGGGCTGTGCCTCACGGGAACCCACCAACCCATGTGGGACACAGCCCTATGGGACACACAGGCCGTGGGCCTCTTCCTGCCCCTCACCATGTGCACCCAGACCAGCACCCCTTGAGGAAGACAATGGAGAAGAGAGAAGCGGCCTGCTCTGGAGACACCCACGGCCCTGGGAGCCTCTTTGTCTCCTCGTCCCCAGCACCTGATCCCCGCACGTCTTGAGGTCTGCCCCCTGCTTCAGCATCTCCATCCAGCATGGTGTCGCCTCATCTCAGGCCTGAGCAGAGCCTCCAGCAACACCTCCCTGCTGTCCCCTCCTACATATCCACCGCAGAGATCGGACACCCGGCTCCTGGGCCTTAGGAACGTGTTGGCCCAGCATTCTAGCACCCTCGTGAGGAGGCCGGTAGCTTTCCAAGTCTCTCCATCACTTTTCTCCTCCCACCTCTCTGCCTGGTCTTTGTCACTGTCCTTGGGGGCCCAGCACGTGCTGATCATACCCCCAGGTACCCAGCCCCCAACCCCCCATCAGGACTCTCTACTTCACTTTAGACAGTCCCACCAGAGGGCTCGGGAAGGGCATGGCAAGTGGGGAATGGACCAGAGTCAGGAGTTAGGAGGCAGTGACAAAACCCAGAGGGGCTACAGAGAAAGGGGGCACCCTTTCAGTGGGATATTCACCCAGAGACTTACTTTTTACTTCCTTTACCAGAAACACTACACTCGGACATCCTCCTCAGAGCTCACAGGCCACACCCCTGCCTGGCACCCAAACGCCCTCAGAGGTTGTCGCTAGGAACGTCAGAGCAGCAGGGTCCAGGTGACAGATGCACATCAGCAGAACTGTAACTTACCTTAGAACACGAACCAGCCTCGAGTCAGCATCCCAGACCTTTAGCTGCTACTTCTTGGGTCACAAATTTGACAGTCTCCAAGATTTTCTGTTGGAAACTAGCAACCATGCCGACACAGAACGCAGCAACCAAACAGGCAGCCAGCGAAGCAAGTCTGGAGAGAACGTTTTTTAAAAGGCAGTTTTACACTTTTAGCATTTACCATTTCAACCAAGCAGGCGGACACCGGGGTCTATTCCGGGGGTTTCTAGTTTCTCGTGTCTCAAGGAACTGTCAGCTCTTGGAGGCAAAACGATTTCCGAAATATGCACGAGGACAGTG